CGCAAAGGTTTCTTCCTTTCTGGGGCTGACGATAGAGGGGAGAAGTGATTGACTGCGGTTCGGCTAAATGCCAGATTGGTAAAGAAGAAAAATCTCAGCAGTGCACGCGACGGGTGCAAGTGCGCGAATGTACTTGCAATCACTGCACTAAGACGTCGCTCGGAAGGTACCTCGGGGAAAACCGAGTCATCACGCACGCAGTACCTTATCTCCTCTTTTCTTTCGACGTGGACTTTCAGTTCAATTGTCTGCTATCGCTCCCCTGTTCTGCGTCCACTGAGTGTTCTCGAGAGTACAAAGGGCAGAAGGGGATCCGCCACCGTGCGGATTGCTCGCGGCGCTACTGTGCGGCCCGACTGGCCTGGCCCACAGAGGGCCGATTTGCTCATGGCGACAAGCCTCTCGAAGCAGGAAGCGGAGAAGCGCACAGCAGAGTGCCAATGACAGCCTCCCGCCCCAGATAATGCCCCGGACGCCGCTCCCAAGGCAGACGGCACACTGTACGGGGCGCCTTCTGCTACCTCTGCCCACCCCTGCGCGCGGCCACGAGGAAGCCCCAAGGAGCCCCTGCTTGCGGCGGCTGCACGGTGCGTCGGACCGCGTGTGGCCACGGTGTGCCCGCGCCCCCCCCCCCCAACGTGGCTCTCGGTCGCTGGCTCCAGCAGCCTTTGCACCTTTTCCCTCAGCAGCTCCACTATTGCGCCGGCCAAACCGCCGTCCTGGGCGAATCAGCGCCGCGGCAGCGCCTCGCCCTTTTGCAGCCCGGCACCCTCTGGCACCCTCGGGCACCCCCTTCTGGCGCTCTTCTGCCACTGCACTGTCCGCCTGTAGGCAAAACTACAGCGTCTGCGCGCCCCCAAACAGCACAGCGCTCCCGGATCCCCCCCAAATGGCACCCCCGGCGCCTCCCCGTCCGCCTCCCACCTAGCGATAGATACCTACCCAGATAGCACCCGCGGTAATACCAGACAGTACGGACGAGCAGGTACCCCCCAGCAGAGCCCTGCCTGTTCCACTGCCCTGTTCTGTTCTGCTCTGTTCCAGTCTCTCTCCACTGAACGCTTCTCTTCCCTATCGCAATCCTCTGCTCGTCCACACCTCATCTTCTCCTCCTCCCTCCGGCCCCAAAGAGAGCCTTGCCCGGTCCTGCATCGCGTAGCCTCTGACCTGTGTCTCTGCCCGCCTTCTCGCCGCACAAAGCATTTCTGTTCTACCGCGCCGCCTCCGACCAGACTCTGCACCTGCCTGGACTTACACCAAAACCGCAGAGCGACTCGAGCCGAGACGAGACGAGACGAACCGGCCAAAGACAACAGACGACCGCCCTTGGAGTCGCCGCAATCCTCCGCTCCCCCTCATTCTCCTCTTCTCCTCTCTCTGCATCTACTCCCTCCCTGCTGGGCGGCTTCGCCATACTACCGGTCCCCGCCATGTTCAGACGGCTGTTGTCTCCCTGCGTCCGACAATAGAGACGCCTTCAACTCCCCGAGCTGGCCGCGGCCGCTCGTCACCCCTAGATTCTTGTATCTCGTCGCTCGTTCACCTCGTCTCCGTCGCCCACCATGGCTGAGCCTCACCACCAACAACACCCTCCCCGGCGCGTCGCCATGGATCCGCCGCACCTCACCGAGTTCGCCTCCGAGCGCTATTTCGAGAAGCTCAACCAGCTCCAACAGCTGCACGCAAGCCGCGAATCTGCCGACTCCGGCGCCTCGACGACAACGACGACGACGACGACGACGGCCACCATCACCGCCAACGCCCAGGCGACGTCGAGGTTCATCCTGCCCCTGCGAGAGGCAAAGGTCCCGGACGTTGACGCCGTCAAGCCCAACGACTCGAAGCAGAATAGACGCTTCTTTGGCGGCATCCGACAAAAGGTCACCCTAAAGCACACCAAGAGCGATGCGGATTCGACCGCTGTGCCTATACCCATACGAGCCTCGACGGATTCGACGCGAAAAAGGTTCGTCACGACAGAATTCATTCTTTTGGAAGAGCAAGAGACTCCTTGAAAAGGAATCGCCATCCCCAGTCGAGTCACATCTGCTAACTGACATCTGCTCCCTCCAGCGTCGCTTTCGACCAGCTATTTTTCGGACTGCCGACCGAGCTCCAATTCCAAATCATCTCATCCCTCCCCCTGACAGACATTCTTAACCTCCGACTAGCCTCGAAATCATGGCACGCGCGCATCACCCTCAACGAAACATTCATCGTCCGGCATCTACTACGGGACCACATACCTGCCTATGCCACTCGCCTTTATCCCGTGCCCGACAACTCCGAGATTAACTTCCACTACCTGTGCAGTCTGTGGCATCGACTGCATGTCGCGGCGAAGCTTTCATACTTGATGTGCGAATGGATCACCAAGGACATCTTTCTACGACAGACGGAAGCCCAGAGGCTGGCATTCGCACCACAGCACGAGCGCATGCGCCGACGATTGATACCCCTACTCTTCACCGTCTTCCACTTCTTCGAGACGTACCGGAAGCTGCACCTGCAGTACATTGCTGAAAACGGACACGGCCTGACCAGGGAGCCGTACACGGTGAACCCGATCGAGAAGCAGATCATGGACATGTACGACGACCGGACGCTGCTGAGGGTCCACGAAGTCTTCCCTCTCGTCATCTCGTCCTTCTGCCGCCGCCTGCGACCGCCGACGTACGTTGGTCGAGTGGAGCGATCGCTGCGTGGCTATCTGAGGGAGCGACCGCCGGACGAGGTCCATGTTGCGATTCTGTGCCTCGGCGGCCTTCGTCAGGTTGAGAGGTTGTGGGAGACCAAGGGCTACAACAACCGTCGGGCTGCCGTGGATACTTGGTACACCTCTCTCACCAAGATGCCTGCCAATGAGGCTTCCTCCAACAAGGGCCGGCTGTTGAAGGGCTTTGGTCGAAAGAAGTCGACCAGCAGCGATCGGCCACCGCACCGATCATCGTTTAGCGACAGCGGCCGCAGGAGTCCGTGGGGATCGGTGGATTATACCGCCTCCGGGATGGAGATGCCCTACAGCGTCTTCAACACCAGCCTCTCGGCCGATGCGCCCATGGCGCCTCTGGACCGCGACCAGGCCAAGGATCTGCTGGGAGACCTGCCGTCGCTGCAGAGCATCTGGCTGACCACGGCCGAGGCCCTGATCTTGGATCGCAAGATTGTGAAGCGGCCGCAGGACATCAAGCGGAACCAGCAGGTCATGCTGGAGCTTATTCGCGAGGACGGCCTGGACGAGGAGGACGAGTGGTGCTACGGCCGCCAGATCTCCGACTCGGTCAGGCCCCCGATTTCGGCCCTCGGTGACGATGCGGATTAAACAGTCTCCTACCATTTCCGTCATATACTTCTTCGTCCGATACATACACGAACACGAGTTCACATACACGGATTCACAGCGTTTCCGTCTCCCATATACGCTTGCTTTTTGAACGAAGCTTGCCATCTTTCCTTTTCCAAGCCAAGCACCATCATTGCATTGGCATATACCACGTTTCCTTGCGTTGTTGCGTGTCACTCGTCGACACCAAAAGAAGCATTTACAGGCGTTTTTATATCTTGTCACTTTTTTTTTTTCTGTTCTCATGTTCTACTACTCGGGATTGGAAGAGACGCTTTTCTGGGATCTGGAGAAATACCCCTCGCGAGACCGTTGAGGTATTTCTGGGTGTGGATTATTTGGGCTTCAAACAAAGTGTGGTCTTTTGTCTTTGTTTCCGCGGTTCCTCTTATGGGGACGCTGTCATACTCCTTTATCTTTCTTTGTTCTTAACCATCAAAGATTTCCTATATCTTGCGTTTCCATTTCTTACGCGTGTTGTTGAACGGAGCTGGGGCCGTCTATTGCTCGACGAATGCCATAGAACTGCGACAAGTTTCTCTTTCTGATCTTACCTTATCTAGCCTGTTGAGCCTTTGTCGTTGTCCTTTTTTTCCGCACACACACAATTGGTTCTTGATACAGCTCCTTCTTTCCTCTTTCTCTTTCAGTTTACCAAAGTTTGCACTTGTTGTTTTTCTCTTGACCTACGTAGCGCTGATGTGCAAAAAACTGGAAAACAAGAAATTCTTTTAAACATACAATACATGCAAGGGAACTTTTTACGTTGAATCGTGTGACTGCATTGCCAAGAGTGAGAGGGCGTGGCAAAGGGTATTCCCTGTCCGTTTTGTGTAAGTGATGGATTCGTATTCCTGGCATTTTATCTATGTATCTCACGCTTCGCTTTCCCTCGACTCATGAACAAAACTGATAAACCCCTTTCCAACGAGAGCGTTTCGTAAAGACAGACATTCAAGGGAAGAAAAGACTTGACGCCGTAGAAAACTCATCATACCCCATTCAACACCACCAGACAAGACGGACAGACAGACAAGAGAACCCATCTTTGCAAAACGTACACATACACACAGAGAGACATCTCACATCGTTGTCTTTCAAAACATGTCCAAGCGACGTACGGAGTACATATAAAAGCCCTGACCCCCATCCATTCCCGAAACATCAAACATCAAGAAAAGAAAAAGAAAAAAAAAAAAAAACACACAATTCACCTTCCCACGTCTCTCAATTGGAAAACACACAGACGGAGTCCCCATCAAGACAAAGACAGACGGAAACATTGGATCGGAAGAAAAGTAGATACCCATTTTGCCCTTTGAAAAACTCCTCTTGTCCGTTCCAGAATCACACCCGCGCGCCAAACAACTTTCCCTGTAAAAATCGACAGAAATACACATTTTCTTTCTTTTCTTGCAGTCAAATGAGAAACAAAACCCTCGTGTGATAAGGCAAAAGGTAAAGAAAAGACCGGTCCTCTCCCACGTTACATGCGTATCAAAAACTTTTTTGCTTTTGCTCATTTTTTTTTCTTGTCTCTTCATGATTAAAAAGAAAACGCCGAAATGCGATGTATGAGCCAAATGTGAACCCCGGCTCGGCCAGCAAGCAAACGCTGCATTATTGTTCCTCTTCACCAGAAGAGAAGGCTGCCCTCCTATTGGCGGTTGGTCATGGCCTGGTAAAGCCTCTCTCTCATGTTCCCATCTGCCAGCGCCGCCTCGAGCTGCGTCGAGTCGCCAAACGCCGCAGCGGCGTCCTGGACGTCGCGCTCGTTCAGCCCGTAGTCCATGTCGAGGTAGCTGTGCTCTCCAAAGTTCTGAAACTGGCTCAGGCTCGATGTGGTCGGCACTGATGCCGATGTCGATGTCGCGGAGACCTGCTGGCCGTTGGTGAAGCCCGAAGACGGGTGGCGAGCCGTGGGCGTCTGCTGCTGGCCCGCCTGGCTGCGCGAGACGGCTAGAGCCGCTTGCTGCGACAGATTGACGGCGCGGTCGTCGGAGCTCTGCCTCGCCATGCTCGAGGGCCCGAACTGAGCCGCCTGACCGCTGCCCGCGCCTCTAGCAAAGCTGCCGCCGCCACCGCCGCCGGCGACGTGCCCTAGCTGTCCTGGCAATTGCCTTGTCTGGGCGTAGAACCCTTGCGAGGTTATACCTGTAGGGCTGTTGCCGTACATCTGGCCCGGCCTAGGTCTCGAAGACCCCGGCGGCATGTGTCCTCCTTGCTGAAGCTGTGGTGGGCGCATCCCCTGATTCTGCTGCTGTGGCCGCTGTGACGTGAATTGCTGCGGCTGTTGCTGGTTTTGGAGCGACTGGCCGACATTCTGGCCTTGGGCCTGTGTTGGTGACCGCTGGGGGTGATGCTGCTGCTGCTGCTGTTGCAGATGCTGCTGAGTCGAGGCTTTCCTAACCGCAGCACTGGCCAGCTGACTGTCAAAATTATTGGTGGCCATGGCCTGGGAGATGCTGTTGTAGCTGTTGTTAAGTATTGGCGACGTGTTCATGCCCACTCGACCGGACTGAGTGTCGATATTGCTAAATATGGGGTTCTGGAGCGACTCTCGCGACACCCGCCGGCGCTTCATGGTGGCCGAATCAGCGGTAGCCATCTGCAACGATGCTTCATCGCCGTGGCGCATCTGTGAGGAGGCATCGGGGGCTGTGATTGCCGACAAGGAATCCCTAGCCACCTGCGCTGGGTCGCCGACTTTCCTCTTCTTCGGATGCGAGTGGTTGTTGGCCGAGCGATACTGGTCCAGAGACTGCATTCCCGAGCCGGCCCAGCTGCTGACAGCCGGAATGCTCGCTGTTTGGCTCGTCTGAGGATTCCGCACACCCATGTGTCCGCCGTGCTGCACAGCTGCACCCTCTTGCATCGTCGGCGAGGGGTTCTGCTGCTGATGCTGATCCGCCCTGGGTGGCATTGTATTTGCAAACGACGAGATGTTATTCATACTTCCCGTTGACTTGTGCGATAAAGGCGAGGGCGCGATTGCATTGGAGGTTGCCGGTGCGGGTAGCAGATTCTGAGGAGCGTCCGTGGCCGCCGCCGCTTGGCTTGCATCTGGAGTGTTCTTTGGCCGATTCTTGGACCCCTTCGGTCGACCCCTCTTCTTGCCTGTCCCCGGAGTGCTTACGATGCTGGAGTCGGGGTCGAGATGCGCTGAGATATCACCAGGAAATGCCGGATTAGGCAACCCATTTCGCTGCTCGCTGGATCCCGGTTCGTTCTGGGACAGGTTGAGCGCATTGTGTGAGCCATGCCCGTCCGCCTGGCTGGACGCATGGTGGTGCGCCAAATCCGACTTTTTGATGCCTTTGTCGATCCGAGGTTTGGAGCTCTTGCTCCCCTTTGGCCGTCCTCTCGGTCTCTTGACGGGAGTCGCAGCGGGGGCATTCTGCGCTTCCGGGGGTTTGGAAGCTCCTGCTGCAGGATCTGTGGAGGTGGGTTGAGCGGGAGGGGCGGTGGCGGGATGGGACAGGGTCGAAGGCTGAGACGAAGCGGGCATATCTGAAGAGGCGACAGCGACGGCGGCCGCGGCAGCAGAGACAATCTCGGCGCTCTGGAGCGAGGGGTGCGGCGCTATTGCCGTAGGGTTTCCTTCGACAGGAGGGAATATCTCGGCCACCCAGCCGACGAAGATGGATCCCTGACCATTGTTGCGTTGGCTCTCTGGGAAGACACAGTCGTGGGAAGAAGGAGCCCCGGGAATGCCCCCAAAGTAGGCCAATGCCTTGCATAGCTGATCCACGACGACGAGGGGATTCAAGCTGCGTAGCAGCGTGAGAAGACGGGCCTGCTCCGCCTTGGCCTCGTGCGGCAAGGGCCCAAGAGCACGGGCAGGCAGAGGGTAGGCGGTGTTCAGGTAGCCATTCTGTGTAGCCCCGTAGGCCGGGGCGGAGGAGCGCGGATCCGATTCAGACGGTGGGATCCAAGCCAGCTTGCTGCGTTTGATGGACTGGTAGCCGCGCATGTTGGCCAGCCTCGCCGCAGCCTCCGTCTCCTCGCTTGTACGCTTTGCGGCAGCGTTTCGAAGGGCGGCCTGTGAGCTATTTATGTCGATGTGCATGACGCCAAAGTTGCCGTTCTTGTTGTCGGCCTTGCCCTTGAGCTTGCTGGGCACAGGGTTCTTGACGCGGCCATCCGTCGTGTGGATGGAGGCTCCGTCCGGGACGTCGGTCACATCTGGGCACTGCGATGAGCATTACAATTCATTGCTGCCAAGCCGGGCATCGGGGATCGGGGTCGGGCAGAGCTTCCTCGCCTCTTACACATACCATGACTAGAGGTGCGGATCGGGGTCTCAGACTGGGGGCCGGGAGTTGCGGACGACTCCGTCGCGGCGTCAGGCTTTGCGGGCGAGTCCCCGGGCGGAGGAGAGTTGCTGATGGCGAGCGTCGCAGAAGCTGGCGTAGACAGGTCAGAAGGCGACACGAGATGGGGCGGTGGCGGCAAGACACGACAACGACGACACAGAGAACGAGAGACGAACCAGGAGCTGCGGCCATGGCGCTGGGAGGATGCGCCTGCAGACCGCCTCATGCCCAGCGCGAGGGCCGGGCGAATTGGAGCTTCGAGAGGGCCGGCAGAGGGTGGGGGAAGAGGATGGGAGCTTGGAAGCCCTGCCGCTGTGTCGTTCGTCTGCTTGGTCCAGCACCGGGGCTGGGCGAGGCAAGGCGAGGCAAGGCGAGGCTTGCAGAGGGCAGAGGGCAGAGGGCAGAGGGCAGAGGGCAGAGGGCAGAGGGCGGGCAAACAGGCGCTGGAATTGCCGTCTCGAGGCGCCTCACATGGTCCGCAGCCGAGGAGCGGTCAGCAGTCGTTTGTATCGCCGTCACAGGCCGTGATGTCGCGCGTTGCAGGCGGCTGTCATTTGATGTCCATGGCCTGACAAAGAAGTTTGGCGGTGCACGGCGCAATCGTTTCTCTTCCTGCTAGTCTGGGACTGTCGTAGTTCCCACTGAGTGCTGCTGCCGAGACGGGACTAGCGCGGTCTGTATTGTATGCAGTTGTAGCGCTGTGACGCCGTATTATGCATGTACGGGGGGGTGATGCAGCGCGCGACAGAGGGAGCAAATTGATCTCGATAGCTGCATACTGCTCGGAAGATGCACCGCAACTGACGCAGATGCCGAGATTCTTCCACGCAAGGCGAGGGGCTGGTGCTTAACGGGGGCTCCCCACTCTCGAATAGGACTAGCGGGGACTGGGCTGGGTATCCGATACTTACTTTGCCCTCTTGTTTCAGATGGCAAGACTGACGACATTCGAGTAGCCGGTACTTTTAGGCTCTCACGGCCCCCACTCCCAACTGCTTGGAGCTGGGCTTAGCTGAACTGTCACTGGACCTGCTTGCGAACTGCCTTCCTGCCGACTCTACGACTCCAATCACAACCACACCAACCATCGTTCCTTCTTCTTCTGCTTCGGGGTTTCCCATCTTCAGGGCAAGAGCGAGCTGAGATACTTTCCTCGAGTATCCGCGCCAGAGGCACCTCACCTCAGCCACTGTCTCTGCCCTCTTTGCTTTTCTTTTCGCTCACCACTCCGACTCTGTCCTTTGTCGCTTCTCCTCCTCCTCATCGGCTCTACTTCTACCTCCGTCTGCCGAGTCGAACATCGCCATGTCCACCAAGTATGCGCTGGTATCGCTGCCTCAAAGCGCCTTCGACAGCGACGATGCCATCTCCTCCCTGAGCGCTACGATCACGCCGGACAACGGAACTGTCCTGCCCTTCAACATTCCAGAGTTCAAGATCGGGACGCTGGACCTGCTCGTGCAGCAAGCCGACGACCTGGCCAAGTTGGACTCGACGTGCCAATCCGTCGTCGCCAAGGTGGCAGATTCCCTGCGTACCGTGCTCAACAACGATGAGGATCGAATGGCGTCTTACAAGATGGTCAATGACAGTTAGTCGAGCCAAACTCTGCCTTTCTGTGCCCTGGGCCTGATGGGGGGAGACTGACGACATGCGGCAGAGCCAACGGATCACTACCTGCGCAACTTTAGCTGGAACAAGATGAGGTACCGAGCCGACAAACCCATAGCCGAGCTCATCAGCACTCTTCAGAAGGTACTCATCTGCGTACCCTTAGACCGACATTGGCGAACAGACTCTCATCTTTACTTGTGGCATAGGAGCTCAACACTGTGGACAATGATGTCAAGTCCAAGTTCAACCAGTACAACTCGGTCAAGACGAACCTTGCAGCTTTGCAAAGGAGACAGACGTAAGCACCGCGCATTGCCACGCCTGTTCCTAGCTAATTGAACCTGCCTCGGGCCGCAGTGGCAATCTCGCAACGAGATCCCTCACCCCCATTGTCAAGCCATCGCTTCTCGTCCAAGACTCCGAGTACCTCGAGACACACCTCATTGCCGTGCCGACGAATGCGAAGAAGGACTTCATCAAGAGCTACGAAACGCTGTCGCCCATGGTAGTGCCCCGATCATGTGTCGAAGTCGACCACGATGACGAGTTTACGCTCTTTGCCGTTGTGACGTTTAAGAAGCACAGCGCCGAGTTCATTCACAAGTGTCGAGAACAAAAGTGGACGCCGCGCCAGTACAAGTACGTCGAGGGCGGCCGGGAGGAAGAGCAGCGCGAGCTGGATCGTGTGACCAACGAGGAGCGCAAGGTCTGCGGCGAGGCCCTGCGCATGGGACGGACTGGATGGAGCGAGAGTGTCATGATCTGGATCCATGTGCTCACCCTGCGCGTCTTTGTCGAGGCCGTGCTGCGATACGGACTGCCGCTGGACTATGCCACAGCTTTGATCAAGGTATGCAGCATGATGTCGACGATTTTTCTTTTCTTTAATGTACAGAAGGCTAACTACATGTGATGCAGACAACGTCGAAGCTGGCTCCTAAGGCAAAGGCAGCTCTCGACGCAAAGTATTCATATCTCGGCGGCAATGCGTTTGGAAGGGACAAGCACGGCAGGGTGACCAAAGACGACGCCGCGCTCAGCTCAGAGATGGCCGCGGCAGGGCTGGGGACTGGCGAGGGACACGAGTACACGGCCTTTGTGTACTACGAGGCCGAATTCCCCTGAAGTGGGTGTAGATGTTGTTTCTTTTTTTCTAAAAAGCGTCATACGCCTGTACTCTATATTTATTGCCATCTCCGTAATAAGACTTGCCTTTCTGCCTTGCTCAGGAACGATGACGAGATTATTGCAGTTATCCTAGTCTAGCGAATCCTGCAGGTGGTGATGTTCTCCATACTCCCGGCTGGAACTGACTTGTGCTACATCTATGAATGATTTCACTTTTGATCCTTTCGTGTCTCTTTTCTTTCTTTTTTCTTCTCTTCCATCTTAGAGCTTCCTGGTTGTCATAAGACTGTTCCTTTTAGTTCTTCACCTGCGCCTCGGGGCCGTGGATGTAGCCCTTGGCGATGAGCCAGTTTGTAATCTGCGCAACACACTCCTCGACGGTGTTCTCGTGCGTCTTGATGGTGATCTCGGGATTCAGCGGCTCCTCGTACGGCGCCGAGATGCCGGTGAACTCCTTGATCTCGCCGGCGCGGGCCTTTTTGTAGAGGCCCTTGGGGTCGCGCTGCTCGGCGACCTCGAGGGGCACGTCGACGTAGACCTCGACAAAGGGAATGGGCTCGTCGCCTCCCTGGTCGGCCTGGGCGTGCAGGCCGCGGGCGAGGTCGCGGTCGGCGCGGTAGGGGGACTTCTGTACCTCCACAAACAAAATTGATAACGAACGCTATAAAAGCTTAACTCAAACTTTCGCTGCCGCGCCTAATCTGAACGATCTCAAAACATATGACATAAATGTTGATCTGTACTCCGTCTACCTCAGACGTTCTTCTATAGGGACTACTAGAAACAAAGGGGGACGAAAATGTGTGGTCGATCTTGTCTCCAACTTTCTACTGAGCGTACTCTATATAAAAATGTATATAAGTGTAGATTATGTTGGTATTATTTTTGTCGTTAATTGCTACGTTGAACATGCGAATTCCGTGAGCAGCGTTTTCTCTGTCAAGTGCTGCAGCTTATTAGTTCTGTTTGCTCTAACTACGCGAAGAAGGGCGCCGCCCCTTGTTTTTCGCCTTCAGCCGCCAAAGCCTGACAGCGGTAGTCGGGAGGGTTACTCGTGTAGTACGCGGAACCGGATAGAACCTTCCCTTACAACCGAACACTCACCCAAGATCACTGTGATCATAGATGGGAAGAACTAAAGAGACGGTCAAAATTGACTTTATACAGTTCAGAACCATAGATGGATCATCATGAGTACATTACGATCTTCGTGATAGTCTGACAAGACTACCTCCCCGCCGCTCCCAGGCTCCCCAAACAGGGAAATCACCCTCTACGTACTAGTATTTCGGCTAGAACTTCTAGTAGTAGTCGGAGGAAGAAATTCTTAGTGGTGAGCTGAGAAAGAGAGTGAGGATGTAGTAGAGAGAGAAGAGAGAAGAGAAGAGGGGAGAGTTGGCACTGAACTAGAGAGAGTGGTGAGGGAGGGAAATTGGTTCGTTTAGTTTTGTGAGAATTTTGTGTTACCGTTGCATTCAGGGGGGAGTTGTGGTGGTGTTTGGGTAGTGGTGATTGTTAGGAGAGGTCGTTGTAGTGGACCGTGGGGAGGGAGAGGGCGGCGCTCGCGTTGGTCGAGGCGAGGGTCGCGCCGGAGTGTTAGACCGAGTGGCCGGAGAGGCGGAGGCCTTTCAGGTGGCAGCGGTGGCGGGAGCTCGTCGTGGAGGACGTGGAGCCGGAGCGGCGGATGGCGGAGCTGCCGCTGTTGCAGGCGAAGCCGGAGTTGTTCCTGGAGCCGAAGAGGCTCGCGCTGGCGTTGCTCTTGTAGGCGGCGTAGCCGCTCCAGCGTTTCGAGAAGCGGCTGCGGCGGTGGTAGCGTTAGTGGAGGAAGTAGA